GTCTCTAGATCATTGAGATACAAAAATAAAAATGAGTTTAGAATTTTTTTCCAGATGTGACAAGTCGAAATTTGCTAATTTTGCAATTTCCTTATTTAAAAAAGACTGGATCTAAGAGTTGAGTTACAAATTAGCTACAATGCAATAGATTCAATGTAACATAGGGATTGGCAGTCAACTTCCTTCTAGCTTCAGATTTCTCAGATGAAACAAAATAACCATGGCAGTCCTTATTATCTTGAATTATATAATGATGTAATATGAGCAATATATTTTTCATAAAAATTGCATGCCAGGTTGTAGATGATAGATATATGTTCACTGTTGTTAAATAAATTGGAACAGAATCAGTCTATTATATAATTTACATGTGTCAGAAATAATTACATCCACTTTCTGTGAAAGTAATTTGTCACAACATAGGACACTATGATCATGATGATGAAACTTAGATTCTATATCTGCCAAAATTCTAGATTCTCATGCAGCTAAAATAATTAACCCAGAACCTGAATGTCCTATTACAAAACACATTTTTTTCCTACTTTTTCAATTTGTGCTCAACTATTATACAACAGGAAATCCCCTTTGTTACCCAACATTGATTGCATAATGATTTGACTATTATGTAATTTTACTGTGCCAGGTTTAAGATAATTTTATCTGCTATTTTTTCTCATTAAATCCTTGGCTGGTGAGTGAAACGTTAAGACAAAAATGACCTTTCAAGTTGTGACTGATTTGTATCTTTAATAGGTATTCATTTCCTTACAGCTATAGTTCTGACATAACAGTTAGATTTTATAAACTGAATCAGATTCTACAGAATCTGTATGTTGTAGAGGCAATCATAATATTGTATGTTATAGAGGCAGTCTACAGAAATTACAGGAATTTCAAAAGATATTGTATGATGTAGAAACAGTCATAAGATTGTGTGATGTAGAAACAATTCTTATATGTTTAGTGTAGAGACATTCATAAGATTGTATGTTGTCTAGGCTGTCATAAGAATGTCTGATGTAGAAACAGTTCTTAGATTGTTTAGTGTTGAGACATTCATAAGATTGTTTGATGTAGAAACAGTCATAAAATTGTTTGATGTAGAAACAGTTCTTAGATTGTTTGGTGTTGAGACATTCATAAAGATTGTATGTTGTCTAGGCTGTCATAAGATTGTATGTTGTCTAGGCTGTCATAAGATTGTATGTTGTCTAGGCTGTCATAAGATTGTATGTTGTCTAGGCAGTCATAAGATTGTTTGATGTAGAGACAATCTTAAGATTGTATGTTGTAGAGGCAGTCATAAGAGTGTATGTTGTCTAGTATGTCATAAGAGTGTATGTTGTCTAGGCAGTCATAAGATTGTATGTTGTCTTGGCAGTCATGAGATTGTATGTTGTAGAGGCAGTCATAAGATTGTTTGATGTAGAGACATTCTTAAGATTGTATGTTGTAGAGGCAGTCATAAGAGTGTATGTTGTCCAGGCAGGCATACAATTGTATGTTGTAGAGGCAATCATAATATTGTATGTTATAGAGGCAGTCATAAGATTGTTTGATGTAGAGACATTCTTAAGATTGTATGTTGTAGAGGCAGTCATAAGAGTGTATGTTGTCTAGGCAGTAATACGATTGTATGTTGTAGAGGCAGTCATAACATTGTATGTTGTAGAGGCAGTCATAAGAGTGTATGTTGTCTAGTATGTCATAAGAGTGTATGTTGTCTAGGCAGTCATAAGATTGTATGTTGTCTTGGCAGTCATGAGATTGTATGTTGTAGAGGCAGTCATAAGATTGTTTGATGTAGAGACATTCTTAAGATTGTATGTTGTAGAGGCAGTCATAAGAGTGTATGTTGTCCAGGCAGGCATACAATTGTATGTTGTAGAGGCAATCATAATATTGTATGTTAAAGAGGCAGTCATAAGATTGTTTGATGTAGAGACATTCTTAAGATTGTATGTTGTAGAGGCAGTCATAAGAGTGTATGTTGTCTAGGCAGTCATAACATTGTATGTTGTAGAGGCAGTCATAAGAGTGTATGTTGTCTAGTATGTCATAAGAGTGTATGTTGTCTAGGCAGTCATAAGATTGTATGTTGTCTTGGCAGTCATGAGATTGTATGTTGTAGAGGCAGTCATAAGATTGTTTGATGTAGAGACATTCTTAAGATTGTATGTTGTAGAGGCAGTCATAAGAGTGTATGTTGTCCAGGCAGGCATACAATTGTATGTTGTAGAGGCAATCATAATATTGTATGTTATAGAGGCAGTCATAAGATTGTTTGATGTAGAGACATTCTTAAGATTGTATGTTGTAGAGGCAGTCATAAGAGTGTATGTTGTCTAGGCATTCATACGATTGTATGTTGTAGAGGCAGTCATAACATTGTATGTTGTAGAGGCAGTCATAAGAGTGTATGTTGTCTAGTATGTCATAAGAGTGTATGTTGTCTAGGCAGTCATAAGATTGTATGTTGTCTTGGCAGTCATGAGATTGTATGTTGTAGAGGCAGTCATAAGATAGTTTGATGTAGAGACATTCTTAAGATTGTATGTTGTAGAGGCAGTCATAAGAGTGTATGTTGTCCAGGCAGGCATACAATTGTATGTTGTAGAGGCAATCATAATATTGTATGTTATAGAGGCAGTCATAAGATTGTTTGATGTAGAGACATTCTTAAGATTGTATGTTGTAGAGGCAGTCATAAGAGTGTATGTTGTCTAGGTGGTCATACGATTGTATGTTGCAGAGGCAGTCATAACATTGTATGTTGTAGAGGCAGTCATAAGATTGTTTGATGGAGAGACATTCTTAAGATTGTAAGTTGTAGAGGCAGTCATAAGAGTGTATGTTGTCTAGGTAGTCATATGATTGTATGTTGTAGAGGTAGTCATAAGATTGTATGTTGTAGAGGCAGTCATAAGATTGTATGTTGTCCAGGCAGTCATAAGATTGAATGTTGTCTAGGAAGTCATAAGAATGTATGTTGTAGAGGCAGTCATAAGATTGTATGTTATCTAGGAAGTCATAAGATTGTATGTTGCAGAGGCAGTCATAAGATTGTATGTTGTAGAGGAAGTCATAAAATTGTTTGATGTAGAAACCTTCATATAATCGTATGAGGAAGAGGCATTCAGAAATGTTGTATGCTGTAGAGCTAGTCATACGATTTGTTGTATGAGTTTGCTGTCTGACATCTGATGTCTGATAGCTCTTTGGGAGACTTACTTAAAATAGTTGTGGGACCAGAATTGCTCTGACATCTGAACCAGACTTTGAGCAGCAAGTTTCTAACTCAAACTTGTAATAATTATTTAGTCTTATGGTCATAAACCATTGTGATACAGAGGCATGGATATGACTCTTTTTGTTTATATTCAGATCCAATAAGATTCAAGAACTTAGCTATAATAATGTCATAATGTTGATGTTCCAAGATCAGGATTCTCTTTATTTGTGACTATTATTACTAATTATATAGTACAGATATCTTAAATATAATGCCACTTCAACTGAAAAACTAGGTAACAATTTTTTAATTCTTCATTTATTAATAGTAAGTTGGATTTAATATGATAGTTTTGTGGTAATGATATCCACTCCTGACCATTCATTGATAGTCAGTGGCGGATCCAGAAATTTACATAAGTGGGGCCCACTGACTGCCTAAGAGGGGGCTCGCTCCAGTCATGCTTCAGTGATTTCCTATATAATCTACCAAATTTTCCCACAAAAGGTTGGGGGGGGGGGGGTCAGTAATGATATCCTCCCTTTCCCCAACCAACATTCATTTGTAAAATAATTGGTGCAATAAATTAAGTGCAAAATTCAAACAATAACAACTGTTAGTAAACATGGTAAATTAGTGTTATAAATAGTGTTATACAGGACAGGAGTAGTCAGCTAATCCAGCTCTACAGTATACTGTGCATGAATCATGCTTTAGAAGTTTGTTAAAAATCCATATCAGTCTGGTATGTACTACAATCAATACTATTGAACACTATAGTCTGAGTCATCATGTCAACAAACTGAATTATATAATAATGTATACACTTATTTCTACATAGTATGTGGGGATACAACATTTTAGATAAGGTTAGATAACTTAAAAAAAAAAAGCAAATACAATTATATCACTACCATAACACGATGATAATGCACAAGCTAACAGTTATTTGTTACAATGAATAACAAATAATTGTTAGCTTGTTCTTTAGTAAAGGTGGCATTATATTTAATGAAAAAGGCTTTATTGGGTTTAGGACAAAAGTCCCCTGACAAAGCACTTCAGATAAAATATTCAGATGGCATATAAATATATCTGGAAATAATGATAAAGAGCACATTTGTTTTGGGTATGCAATGACTTTTATGATTTTATTACTTAGTGTTAAAGGAAACAGAACATATCAAAAAGTGTTTCCACAGAAAATGTTGTCCTGATTGTCGTTTCCTCTTCAACTTGTATTGAGGTCAAAGAGTTTTACATTTAATCATATCACATTTTTGGTAGGGGGTATAACAGCTTCCCATTAAGATTAGGTCATAATGACCTACATTACACCCTGCAGTATTTTAGTGGATTTATTATTTCAGTATTTTACTCTATGTTGATATCTTTCTTCCTTTGAAGAAGAAAAAAAAAGCGAGACTAAGGTGTGCCATTTCAGATGGCAGCGTCAGCAGCGGCAGTGTTAACAAAAGTTAATGTATAAGTTTGTGCTAAGGTCAGTTTATGGGGAACCACTATTGGTAGGTCAATGTTATTTGATATGCAGTTGTATAAGCATTGGTACATCTCATTTCCACTGAGTCATGGTCTATTGACATTGAAACTTTTGCTTAGTCTACATGTACAAATATTGCCATTTTAATTTTAACATTTGCATTATACTATCAAAATTACAAAAAAACAAGACATATCCTGACAGTTTATTTTACATTTGATCATTGATACAAAAAGTATTGTATAAGTCTATGTTATATTTCAGGATGTTTGAATGTGGGATCACATGATATCTGTGCACTGTCAGACTGTATTGAACGGATAGATGGCACCACTAGTCACAATTTTTGTTGTTGTTACACTGATCTCTGTAACCAGAACTTTACCAAGGTTACAGATGTTGAGTACAAACAGATAACAGCCAAGAAAAAAGTGGATTCCTGGAACAACAGTCAAGAGAAACTCACAAGTATATATATATTACATATATTAAAATAAGGATATTTTATTGCTTATAATTTTAATGATTTCACACTTATGTTAAGTCTTAAAATATGAAAAAAGTTGTGCTTTAATATGTTGGTAGGTTGGCCTGGTTTTCATGTATATCTTTTTAATAAAGTATACTCCTTAAGGCTGATACTGGCTGTTTTGTCTCAATTTGTCAATTCAACGTAGATTATGTTAGATAACAAATGCCAAATGGTGGCAGTCACTGTCACAATGGAACAGATGTACAATCTTAAGGGTAAAAGGATCCACCATCTTACAACTTCCATTTTTGCATAAAATTGATCAAAGATACTACAAGACAGATTTAAAAAAAAAAAAACTTGGTAGTTGCTCCCTGTAATTGATTTGATATATCCATTGAATAAAATCAGCAATAAACATTAGTGATTAAGGTAGATCAGGTGTCTTTTTCTGAGCATCTCTTCTGGGCATGTTACAAATATACTTTTGGGTTTAAAAATATTTTACCAAGTATCATTTAATATACAACAGAAACATCTAAAACTTGAAATTTAAAGATTTAACTATTTAAAATATAAGTGTCATTAAATGTACTTAAATTTTTAGTAAAAAAGCCTTTTGAAATCAAGGGCAGATAATTATATAGAATTTGATGTGACAAGTTGTGTTTTTTTTATACTTCAAGAAAATAAAGCCTGTGACCCCCTATTTGATAATTCGAAAGTATTTGTGAAAAGTTATTCTCTTATTGAATTTAAACCAATACTATCGTTAATTGTTTCCTCAATAAGGAAAAATAAAAGTTTCCCCTATATAACCATATGAAATACATGTTATTTCGTTAATTTCAATGTATTTTAACCAAAAAACAAGGTCTGTGACCCCCAGTTTTTATATAGAAATTTGAAAGTACATTGACCCAGAAGTTTAAGAAAAATCTTTCATTCCACATTTAGCTACAAATGTACCTTAAGACTGTCATTGACGGATGGACAGATGGAGCAGTCTTTCAATGCTCTTTTACAATATAATAAAAATCAACTATTAGAATAAATAAATAATTTAATAAACAAAACAAAATCAATTAGAAAAAAACTTATTACATATAATTCAAATTCCAAAAATGTCCCAAATAACCACTGAGATTTTTGTCTGTTCACAGTTCAAATTACTTTCCTTTAAATACGGTGATGCAGTTCAGTCTAGTTGAATATATCGTCGTAGATGCTAGTCTTGTAGGACGAACACAAAGAACGTGCACAACAGCTTCAAACCATAAACGTAGATACATTGTATGTTGTTATGACTGTAGGATCCACTCCTTAACATTGTAGCATAGTATTACTCTGGTGCAGGCTAGAACCTAATAATAATATAATTGTACAAATTTTTTACTATGATTGTCAATTAAATATGCATTTTACTCTCATGTTTATGTAACACACAAATGACTCTGTATTTCATGTTCATACAATGAACACTTGTATTCTATCAATTTATGAAAATAAAGACGCATAAACATTTTATATGTAACAAATGTATCATATACTTAAGTAAATATCCTAGTTTGCATGATAATTTCATGTACATAAGAAAACTTGGTACCCGTACCTGGTACACATAAATATCATGTACATTCAATTTGTACCCGTACATAATAAGCTTGTTCTTATTTGCTAGTAAAAATGCAAATATCTGCATGTAAATCAATGTTTTCATATATTTAAATCTGTTTACAAAGCATTTTGAATTATACATATTACGTTCTGGAAAATTTGTCAGCAGAAATTTGATAAAAAGAATCAGAGAAACTATTAACAAATGTAAGAATAAAACACTTACCTCAGAATTGTTGACTATGTACAAAAAACAGCCAAACTCATGTGGGTTAAATTTAAAATATCAATTATTAATGATCTGACGGGTGTGGCATCCTTCCACACCATAACCTCAAGTAGATGAATCTTCCTGAATAGGTGTGTAAACCTGTCCGAAGAACTTGACTGACCACCATTAAAAAATAGCAAACAGGTATACAATAAGGCCATGCTTCATTGGCGTGCGTTTTAACACAGGTGACCCAAATTTGGCCATACATGAATACTGTGTAAAAATATGTATAAAGGCGCATTGCAAAACTACATTTAATAGAAACTATGAAATTGGCATCTCGTGCAAAGACCGCAAGTGCAATTCTTTGATCTTGACAACAACTTCACAAATTATATTATTCATATACATGTATGACCTGAACAAATATCTATAAATCCATCTCAATCGTGACACAGACCTAACTGAATTTAAACTTTGCCACCAACAATACCAAAAGAACTTTAAACAATTTACATTCCAGACAGAGGTCAGTTGGTTATTTTCTTACAATACTCTAAAGTGAAAGTTTTAATTTCATAACAATTTTCTGAGGTGCAAGTAACTATTTCAATTTCAGAAAATACTTATAGTTTCCAAACCATATGTGGTTACCATGACAATAGCAGACAAGAATCTAATAGCAGCATGGACTATGAAGTTGACCAGTTGCCAGGAACATTATTGAAAGATGGTTCAACAGTTCTGTGCCCTGGTGATGATTATTGTTTTACAGTATGGCAAGTCCTCAATAAAGATAATGATACAGAAATCCGCATTGTAAAACAAGGTAAATTCTGACATAAACAAACTTAAGACTGCAGACTATGGGAAGCTATGAGGTAATCCTTGTATTTCCATCTTTCAGTCTTCTCTCTTCATCCTTTTCTAATCATTTCTTTAACTTTAAAACATTTTGACAGAAACTTTGATACTAAGTATGATTGTTCTCTACAAGGGCAATTGTTACAGCTATTTAGGTTCAGATGTCCAGTTTGGTTGGGCCTGTCATTATTGACATATCTACATCTTTAAATAAAGATGTAAATTCCATGATATGTCAGTTAAAATATAATTGTTGTCTCATATACAGTAAACGTAAACTTATCCAATGTGAACATTACATCCAGTAGGATAAATTTACAATACCTTCAGATTCTGAGGTTCAGAATACGTGTTACTTATTATTTAAATGAAGGGCAATCTTATAACAGATGTAGGTTGTTGCACCCTCAGTGAAAAACCATCTTGGGTTGACAATTTTGGATATTCACTTTTCTACAGGCCATAATTGTTTCATTATGGCGAGCTAACAGTAGAAGGACCTTTTGAACCATTGAAGAAGCATTTACCTTACTGTAATAACAGATTGTCAAAACGCTTATGTTAGAACATTTATTTTGTGTCTAAGAATTTCTTGTATGTACAACAAAGTTCTGTAAAATATTGACATGATTGATGGCCCTGAAAAGGACTGTTTATACGAGATATCCACTGCACTAGATGAATTTTACTTCTGATTACACATGTGCAACAATTAAAATGTTTATTCTGCAATTTCCTTCAATCAAGACAATTTGTAAGCATAGATGAATCAGCTTATTTCAGAAAGCAATTATTTTATTAAAAATTTGATGAATGCTGTCAGTATTTGAAAGACGAACAAGTAAGTAAAATTGAACACCTTATTTTGCAATCTCCCACTAATCATTATAAAACAACATATGATTTTTTTCAAAACACTTCGTTTGTGATGGCTTCAAATTCGTCACTGGATTTATTTTCTTCAGAAAACTAAAATCCACGAATTTATTAACCCACGAAACATGTAACTTTTACTCAAACCATGAAAATTGATACCCACCAATAAAAGTACTTTCACAGTATTCATTGGTGAATAATAGGGTTATTCACCGCTGGGTGTAAATATTTAGGTTTATTCTTCCTTCCTTGCATTTAAATTAAATTAAATTATTATTCCATGTCACATAATAACTTGATACCCAGTAGAATAGTTAATCATATATGTAAGGTACAATAATAACAGGTGTTACTTTGTAGGCTGTTGGCAAAAATCTGATGACAAGCATTGTACAGTAGGTCAGTGTGTTGCAAACAGACGTTCTACACAAGTTAAATATTGCTGTTGTTATGGTAACTTGTGTAATACAAACATGTCAGATATATATGACCCTTCCCAGCATACAACAGAAGATCCTCAATTTCCTGGTAAGTCTTCAGATTTTTAAATATCAAGCACAGAGAGTGATAAAAAAACAATTTAGAACTCAAAAAGTTAATATAATATAAATAACACATAGCTGAGAGGGTGATAGAGCAGATTGTGACCCCGAGAAAACATTGTCAACTGAGGCAAAGCCAAGGTTGACAATGTCTTTTCAGGGGGAACAATCTGCTCTATCACCCTCTCAGATATGTGTTATTTAATTTATTATACTGAATGTTCTGTTATTACTGTCTATTAAATTTTAAATTCAAAGTAATAAACTATGTTGTCTTGTACATAACAAGCATCTGTATTTATTAAAGCGCACACTTGAGCAAGTGTCTCCGTGAAGGGTAAAAGAGTATTTGCCATGGGATAGAGTAAATTGTCTCCCTTGTATTAACCAATCAAAATCTGGCATTTTGACATGAAGTATAATAAAATAACTTATTCCACTCCTGACAAAAATCTTTATTATATTTGATGAAAACAACTTTATATGGAACTGCATCATGCTCTCTGCTGACATAATATATCCCTTAGATCACATTTATAATTTCTAAAATGAATGTGGGGCTCTCATGTATATCAAGAGGGCAAACAAGGAATGTGATTTAAAAAAGGGACTTATGCTAATGAAATATCTAATATTACATAGTGAAAATTATGTTATGTACAAGATCATTCTGATAGTTTTACTAATAATTCAATATAAGGATTTGACAAATGGTTTATCAGCAGTTAGTACACAAAATAAAAATCATCCTTACTTCATCATGATAGTTTTTCACTAGTCTACAAATAGAAATTGCAAAAATATATAATGATATTATTATATGCAAAGTAAACAGCAGTATTTGAAGAAAATATGAAAAAAACTATAAAGAGAAAATAGAGGAACAGAAGCCTAACATTAAACTTATGACAAGTACCTGAGATTGAATGTTACTTTTCAGTTATTATACCCCACGCAAAGAGTTGCGGAGGGTATAATGTTTTTGACCCGTCCGTCCGTCTGTCCGTCCGTCTGTCCGTCCGTCCGTCCGTCCGTCAGTCCTATTTCTTGTCATCGCAACTCCTCTCAAACCACACAACAGAATTTCACGAAACTCTAGATAATAAGGACATACTATGTAGTTGTGCATATCGACAGGAAATTACGATTCAATTTTTTTTCTAGGAGTTACGCCCCTTTGAACTTATTTACTTTAATGTACTACTGCAACCTTTTGTCATCGCAACTCCTCTCAAACTACACAACAGAATTTCATGAAACCTTTTCAGATAATAAGGACATACAACGTAGATGTGCATATCGACAGGAAATTCAATTCAATTTTTTTCCAGGAGTTGCGCCCCTTTGAACTTATTTGCCAAATATACTACTGCAACTTTTTGTCATCGCAACTGCTCTCAAACTACACAACAGAATTTCATGAAACCTTTTCAGATAATAAGGACATACTACGAAGATGTGCATATCAACAGGAAATTACGATTCAATTTTTTTTCCAGGAGTTACGCCCCTTTGAACTTATTTGCCCAATATACTACTGCAACCTTTTGTCATCCTAACTCCTCTCAAACCACTCAACAGAATTTCATGAAACCTTTTCAGATAATAAGGACATACTATGTAGATGTGCATATCGACATGAAATTATGATTAAATTTTTTTCCAGGAGTTACGCCCATTTGAACTTATTTGCCCAATATACTACTGCAACCTTTTGTCATCGCAACTCCTCTCAAACCACACAACAGAATTTCATGAAACTGTGTAGATAATAAGGACATACTATGTTGATGTGCATATTGACAGGAAATTATGATTCAATTTTTTTTTCTGATACAATTTTTTTTTCTTACACTTATTTTATTTCTCCAATGACAATGTGGGGACGTGGGGTATGTGAGCGCGCTCACTAAGGTTCTTTAATTTTATTAATGATTACATTGTTGACTTAAGATACTTTTTATCTTTGGCAGGTGCTAAACATTTGGCAGAAGAATACACCCAGTACAAAGAGAAGACAATTATTATCTCCCTTGTTTCTGTTGTTTCAGTGGCATTAATTATTATGGGCGTCTACTTATTATATAGACTTTGTTTAGTCTCTAAAAAAACATCAAATGATTCACTCCACCTAGTGGAAGCCCCACCTCCAAGAGGTATGGAATTAGAAGGTGTTGAAATAGAAAAACAGATTTGTCGTGGTAGAAATAGTGAGGTTTGGCAAGGAACCATGGGAACTATGAATGTTGCAATAAAAATGTTTCAGTCAAATCATAGACAGTTATTCTTAAACGAAAAATATATATACTCACTTCCTTTCATGGAACATGAAAACTTGTTGAAATTCTATGGCTGTGAAGAAAGATTAACTATGGAAGGCTATAAACAGTATTGGGTAGTTCTGTCATATTGTCCAGTTGGGAACTTACACTGCTATTTGAAGAACAATACTGTTGATTGGTCAACTTTTTGTAGAATGGCTTTGACTATTGTGAAGGGACTTTCTCATCTTCACACACAGATAGAAAAAGGAGGTATAAATCTTTTACTTGCAGTCTTTATCAACTTTTATCAATCTTTAAAATTAAATTTGAATCCTGAATGTTCTTCAGAAGAAAAATATTTACAACTGGGTTATTAGAAAAAGAAAGTACCAAATGTTAACTTATTTGAACAATTTCATATTATCAGATTATGCTGAAAATTAAAACTTATTTAATTTCAGCAGTGTACATAAAGAATTTTTTAAGGGTGGCCTAAGATATAAAATTTCAAAAAAAACAATAAAATAAGATAAAATTTGAATAAATATTGTAAATTAGCACATTTGTCATAACATGGTATCATATAAATAAAAACTATCATACTGAATATTTGTATGTGATTTGCAGTTTTTAAAATTGGAAAATATCTCATATCAAGGTTGAAATTATCTGTTTTAGACAAGAAAACGGCGTGGTTAGAACAGGAAAAAATCTTTTTTTTTAAATTTGAACCGATTTATGTCATAAAATTTTTTGGGTAGGCTTTCTTTTAGGTGAGTTGGTAAGCTCTCAAACAATCTAAATTTTATTTTTGGCCTTAATTTAAAGCATAAGGAGTTATTTACTTGTACTGCTTTTGAATAGTAGTTACATTTCTGTAGTTGTTGACTGCAGCCAGTTGTCAAATACAGTTCTCTTATTCTTTACTCACATTTAATCACATAATTTACACATGAATGATATAGTTTTTTACCTCTCTGTTTGTCACTCTGTCAGTCAGTTTTGGTAAATGGACCATAACTATAGTGTACAGAACCTGATTTTAGATTTATGGTCTCATTTCAAGGAAGGAAGATTATTGATTTTAAGGTCATCATGTCAAAGGGGTTTCTTAGAGATAAGGCAATGACCATTCTTGGAATTTGAACAAAATTTTCTTTCAGTTAAGTCTTTTCTGAAAAGATAACTTTGTTATTGATACTTTCTATCTAATATGAGAATAAAATTTGAATGTGATGTATATAAAATTGACTTGATATGTTTTTCAGATCAGTTCAAGCCAACAATAGCTCACAGGGATATAAATACAAGGAATATTTTAGTAAATCCAGACAACACATGTGTAATAGGAGATCTAGGGTTTTCCATAGCCACTGTTGGCTCTAAACTTATGAAAAATGGACATTATGAAAGTGCTGAACAGGCTTCTTTGCAAGATGTAAGTAATTTTTCAACGTAGAATTTAAAATCAAAATATATTACCAGTATATGTTCGGAAAAATATCTAAGGAGGGCTTTTTTCAATAACTTTTTTACAGCAAAATAGAAACATTCTGTCTCACCACATTTAAGAAGTAATTCCCTAAAAATTATGAAAGAAATTAAGTAATAGATTTGGCCGATTTGTACATGCTTTGGATGGAATTTCAAGAAGGTAATTGACTTTCAAATTTACCTTTCTGTCCAGGTTAGTTATATAAAATATTTAAACAAATTTTTTTTACATGAGACTTTATGAGAAGATACACACATCACTGAGACATCATGGCCTGTTGTAACCAAAATTAAGACTATCATTGATGTCTTATTTTCCCCTGCTTTTTGAAGTGGATGTATATATTGTAATGGGGTTGTATACCTGTTTGTTCTCTCTCTCTTCCCATTTTTATACGACCGCAAAAAAAATTTTTGGGATCGTATAATGGTATGATGTCGTCGTCGTCTGCATCGTCGTCATCCAAAGACACATTGGATTCCAGACAATAACTTTATTTGAAGGGAATGGATCTCTATGAAATTTTTTAAGAAGGTTCAATACCACAAAAGGAAGGTTGGGATTGATTTTGGGGATGATGTTCCCAACCGTTTAGGAATTAGGGGCCCAAAAGGGGCCAAAACAAGCATTTTTCTAGTTTCAGGATAATAACTTGTGTATAAGTATTTCAATTCCTCTGAAATTGTACCACAATGTTTAATACCACAAGTAAAAGGTTGGGATTCATTTTAGGGATTATGGGGCCAACAGTTAAGGAATTAAGGGCCAAAAAGGGATCAAAAACAAGCATTTTTCTAGTTTCCAGACAATAACTTATAAGTAAGTGTATGGATCTCTCTGACATTGTACCACAAGGTTCCATATAACAAAGGGAAGGCTGGGATTGAGTTTTGGGTTAATTGATCCAAACATGTAGGAATTAGGGGCCAAAAAAGGGCCAAAAACAAGCATTTTTCTAGTTTCCAGACAATAACTTGTGTTTAAGTGTATGGATCTCTCTGAAATTGTACTACAATGTTCCATACTACAAAGGTAAGGCTGGGATTGAGTTTTTGGGTTATTGCTCCAGGGAGGGTTTCAAAAAGTTGGGTGGGGGGGGATTTTTTTTCCAATTTTTTTAAGGGATTCATATTTTTTTTCAGAATTTTTTCGAATTTCGTTTCAAGAAGAAATCTTCAATTGCACAGTATTGCGCAATAGATTTGTAAGATCTTTGACCACATTTATTTTGTGTCAGAAACCTATATTATGTCAAAAATTTGATCACAATCCAAATTCAGACAGTATCAAGCTTGAATATTGTGTCCAAATTTGCCCAAACTGTTCAGGGTTCGGCCTCTGCGGTCATATCAGGCTGCGCTCAGCGAAGCATTTTATTGCTACTGCTGCTGAACCAGAAATGTGTGACACTTTTCAATCTTATATAATGTACTTTCACCTCCTTTGAGCTTCTTTGAATTTATTCTTGCTAGGGTTGCCCATTATGAAACAGGAGCATTTGTATGTAATTCAGAGTGGGGAGTACTTTTTTTGTTCTGTTTGGTATTAAATAAAGGTTTTACTCTTTCATTCTTAATTTATTATCCAAAGTAAAACATTATATTTTGATTATTGTTTGGGATTGGTTTCACATTTGTATCCTATATTCCTCTTTCTATAAAGTCATGATGAACTGTTATTAATATTATATTGTGGATTCATTTATTTTCGTGGGTACCAATTTTTGTGGATTGAGGAAAACTTGAATTTACGTGGATACTTGATTTCGTGGTTTAACCTAAGTTTGCATACAATCTTATAGAAAATTTGTTATTCGTTGAACATTTAAATTTGTGGTTAACCTGTACCACGAAATCCACGAAAATTGGTACCCAACGAATAATGATGAATCCACAGTATAGAATGGTCTCAGTGCATATATATAGACATTACTCACATAAATATGGTCAGCAAGAAGTATAGCTCAAAAAAATTTCATGATTTTTCTTTTTTGTTACTGTAGATTTATTATTAATCCTTGGATTTCTTGGGTAAAGGTGAAGTCTTTAATGAACTACCCTTAAGGCTTGTATGAAGAATTTGTCAAAATATGAAAATGCACAAAAAATATATTAACCTTCCTCCACAAAGGTAATTTTACAGTATGTCCTTTGTTCACCATTTTACCCCCTATTCCCAGCTTTAATTGAAATAATCCAATATATTTATAAACTTTTTTTAAGGTTGGTACTCTTCGATACATGGCTCCAGAACTACTGGATGGTGCTGCTAACCTACGAGAATCTGAAACTTCTTTGAAGCAAATAGATATTTATGCCTTAGGACTCGTGATATGGGAAATTGCAACAAGATGTACTTGTTTATATAATGGTAAAGTTTATATTTTATTTTCATGTAAAAACAGGCAATATCAGATTACAAATTAGTTTATATTGGATTTTCTACAAAGTTTAATTGTAAGATTTTGGAAAATATTCATCAGAAATTCATTACAGTTATTTCATTTTTTGCTTAAACACAACATTTTTTTATGCCCCCGCCATAGGCATGAAGTGTTACCCTTGACCATGGCTTCCAAAACGGTCATATATTCCGGACATTTATAAATTTACTGGACATTGTCCGTCTGGGAAAAGCATGAAACGGTCATCTACTTTTAGTTTTCAAGGCTTCCTTAAGAGACTGTCATTTTAACATAATTTTAAAAAAATTGGAAGTTCGATCTTTTTGCCCCGACCTTTTGCCTTAAACAGTCACACATTTCCAGTCATAAAAGTGACACGATGATTAAGTACTATCAAAACAAACCCTCTTTTAATACCTTATCATTTTAATCAAGGTTAATTAGTTGTTGGACAGCTGAAAATTTCCTGTTCAGGCGACAGGTAAACTATTTTGTACCGGACATTGATCGGTCTATTCAAAGTTATTTTCTTACATTTAAAGCGGTTTGCATCTAATTAATTTAGTCAGAAAGATTAAATTTGTCAGAAAAACGTTTATAAATATGATTTGATGATCATGAAAAATTAATAAGGTTTTAAACGAAAAATCGTCAGAACCACGTTGTTTGAACTAGTACACGAGTGCGCATGTGAGCAGGTGGTGAAATTTAATTATGCATCCTAATTCTTCAAAAATGATAAAATTATCATTGATACCTTTATCAAACATTCATTTCGAGTATTTTCTTGAAGAAATAATGTGGAAAGAGCTACTTAAACTCAATCGTGCTATGTAAATGTACACAGATTTTACGTATCCGTCTCTGGTCCATGTTTTACCATTGTCAAGTCAACATACGGTATAAGGAAATGTGCTTTTTAAAAACGAAAGAAAAGTTTTTGACAACGTTATTTTGCACAAATAAAGAGTCTAAGGCAGATATTAGTACACTGAAGTTGCACACTTTAAATGATGCACTGTCAATTTAACATTTTACGTCAGAACGTCGAGTTTATATTAAAGTAAAGTTTAATATCGTTTTTTAATGTCAATCATTGGTTATATGATGGCCAACTGATTACCATGGTTCATAATTGCCTTTTCTTATTAAGTCTTAAGGGATTAAAATCGCGATAAGACATAAAATGTCCGGCTGGCTCAAATATTTTTTGGAAGCCCTGCCCTTGACCATCCATCTTTCCATCCGTCCGTCCCATTTTTGTTTCCGTACTCTAACTAAGTTTGCCTCATCCAAATTTTATGAAACTCATACACAATTCTAAGAATGAAACTTGCAGACAGAGTTCGAATTTGTGTAGCAAGTTCTTTCCTTTTTTACAGTTATGCTTTTTAATAACTTGGAAAATTGCTAAATTTTTTCGTTTCTGCACTCTAACTTAAGTTTACCTCATCCAAATTTTATGAAACTCATACACAATGCTAAAAACCACTACACGCAAACAGAGTTATAATTTGGGAAGTGAGTCACTTACAGTTCTAGAGTTCTGCCCCTTTTTAACTTGGAAAATTACAAAGCTTGAGCAGAGGCATTCGTGTCCTCAGACACATTCTTCTTTTATTTATTTCTGCTATAGGGGCAGTTGCATTGCTCTCCTAATTACTTGAAGAAAAAAATCATCTTTTTTGCATAAAACATATCTAGAAACCTTTTATCTCACACAACTCTTTGAATTGTTAGGGTAGCACCCTACTTATAATATACTTTATAACACACAGTTTTGAGTAGATCGGTTAATATATATATACTTTATTACACACAGTTTTGTGTAGATAAGATAGCATACTTTTTTACACACAGTTTTGTGTTGATCAAATAATATGCTTTGTAACACACAGTTTTGTGGAGATCAAATGATATGCTTTATATAGTACACACAGTTTTCTGTAGATAAGATAACATACTTCTTTATACAGTTTTCTGTAGATCAGATAATATGCTTTGTAACACACAGTTTTTGTAGATAAGATAATATACTTTATTACACACAGTTGAGTTGCTATCAGTTTTGACAGAATAAATAAGACACAGAGACATGTAAGTTTACTGAAGGTCATAGTGTCATTCAAGTTTGATATAAGTTTCCTTAAAAAAACCAACATTTGTGCTATTTAATTTTTTTAACTTCAATATTTGCGTTTTTGTTTGATTTTAGGTGTACCAGTGCCTGACTATACCTTACCATACCAGAAGGAAGCTGGGTTACATCCTACATTTGAAGAAATGCAAATTCTGGTGTCCCGTAATAAAGTTAGACCAAAGTTTTCTGAAGTGTGGAAAGATTATAATCAGGTAAGTGTTAATAATGTAAAAAACATATTGTCCCCATGAACAAAAATGTTTGAAGACAATTGATAATGCATTCCTGTGTTTGTGAATAACCTAAAAGACACAGAAGAGCTTTAGCTTGTGTCCAATCTCTATTTAAATTACACAAAATAAATGATGATAGATCCATGAACCCTATTGGTAAAAAGATAAAGATCACCGTAGCAAAGAGGGCATCAAGTTTTACCCTTGTCCGTCTGTACGTCCGTCCGTACGTCCCGAAATTGGTTTCTGTTCTCTAACTTTAGATTGCCTCAACCAAATGTTATGAAACTTATAAACAATGCTTATTACCACAAAACACAGATAAAGTTTGAATTTGGGTGGTGTCTCTCTTCCTTTCTAGAGTTATGTCCCTTTAAAAATGGAAAAATTGCTGAATTTTTCATTCCGTTCTCTAACTTAAGTTTGACAGAACCAAATGTTATGAAACTTATACACAATGCTTATTACCACAAAACTCAGATTGAATACGAATTTTGGGTAACATCACTTTTACCGTTCTTGAGTTATGTCTCTTTATAACATTATAAGCAAGCGGGGGCATCATCTGTGTCCCATGGACACATTCCACATTTATTATACCCCACGCAACGGATTGCGGAGGGTATAATGTTTTTGACCCGTCCGTCCGTCCGTCTGTCCGTCTGTCCGTCAGTCCGTCAGTCCATCAGTCCTGTTTCTTGTCATTGCAACTCCTCTCAAACCACACAACAGAATTTCACGAAACCTTTTTAGATAATAAGGACATACTATGTAGTTGTGCATATCGACAGGAAATTACGATTCAATTTTTTTTCTAGGAGTTACGCCCCTTTGAACTTATTTACTTTAATGTACTACTGCAACAGTTTGTCATCGCAGCTCCTCTGATACCATACTACAGAATTTCATGAAACCTTTTTAGATAATAAGGACATACTATGTAGATGTGCATATCGACAGGAAATTACGGTTCAATTTTTTTCTAGGAGTTACGCCCCTTTGAACTTATTTGCTTCAATGTACTTCTGCAACAGTTTGTCATCGCAACTCCTCTGATACCACACAACAGAATTTCATGAAACCTTTTTAGATAATAAGGACATACTATATAGATGTGCATATCGACAGGAAATTACAGTTCAATTTTTTTTCTAGGAGTTACGCCCCTTTGAACTTATTTGCTTCAATGTACTACTGCAACAGTTTGTCATCGCAACTCCTCTGAAACCACAAAACAGAATTTCATGAAACTTTGTAGATAATAAGGACATACTACGTAGATGTGCATATCGACAGGAAATCACGGTTCAATTTTTTTTCAGGAATTACACCCCTTTGAACTTATTTGCCCAATATACTACTGCAACCTTTTGTCATCGCAACTCCTCTCAAACCACACAACAGAATTTCACGAAACCTTTTTAGATAATAAGGACATACTATGTAGTTGTGCATATCGACAGGAAATTATGATTCAATTTTTTTTTCTAGGAGTTACGCCCCTTTGAACTTATTTACTTTAATGTACTACTGCAACAGTTTGTCATCTCAACTCCTCTGAAACCACACAACAAAATTTCATGAAACTTTGTTGATAATAAGGACATACTACGTAGATATGCATATCGACAGGAAATTACGATTCAATTTTTTTCCAGGAGTTACGCCCCTTTGAACTTATTTGCCCAATATACTACTGCAACCTTTTGTCATCGCAACTCCTCTCAAACCACACAACAGAATTTCATGAAACCTTTTCAGATAATAAGGACATACTACGTAGATGTGCATATCCACAGGAAATTACAATTCAATTTCTTTTCTAGGAGTTACGCCCCTTGGAACTTATTTGCTTCAATATACCTCTGCAACAGTTTGTCATCGCAACTCCTCTGAAACCACACAATAGAATTTCATGAAACTTTGTAGATAATAAGGACATACTAGGTAGATGTGCATATCGACAGGAAACTATGATTCAATTTTTTTTCTAGGAGTTACGCCCCTTTGAACTTATTTGCTTCAATATACAGTTTGTCATCGCAACTCCTCTGAAACCACACAACAGAATTTCATGAAACTTTGTAGATAATAAGGACATACTATGTAGATGTGCATATCGACAGGAAATTATGATTCAATTTTTTTTTCTTATACAATTTTTTTTTCTTACAGTTATTTTATTTCTCCAGTGACAATGTGGGGACATGGGGTATGTGAGCGCGCTCACTAAGGTTCTTTAATTTTGTACATAAATCAGGCCGTTTTCTCATTTAAATTGTTTTACATATGTCATTTTGGGGCCATTTATAGCTGACTATGTGGTATGGGATTTGTTCATTGTTGAAGGTTGTACGGTGACCTATAGCTGTTAATTTCTATGTCATTTGGTCTCTTGTGGAGAGTTGTCTCATTGGCAATCATACCACATCTTCTTTTTTTTTATATTTTCATCTATTTTTTTAATCATGTTTAGCCATCTGCAAGCTGAAACAAGTACATGCGAAGACAAGTTTACCTTTAGGTTAATAATTGATAAATGGCTGATTAACACCAATCGAAAATATTTCATTCATATGTAGTACAATAACATGTTAAAAAGATACAAATATACCCTGTTTTGTACAAAACCAACATGCTGAGTTTTATTTTTAAAATGCAAGCTTACAATCACATAAAAGACACACTAAAGCTTTAGTTTGTATCCAGTCTTCAATTAACTTACATAAAATGAATGATGATAAATCCATGAACCCACAAGAAGATAATAACCCAACAAGACATAATAATCTGAGTCCAAGTCAACAAATATTTACTCTTCCTTCCAATGCTGTGTGCTTTGCAGAGTAGCAGTAAATACAAGGGTCCGGAAACGGTCATATTTGCCAGTCATGTCCTAAGATGAAACTATTTGTCCTAAACGAGTTATTGGGATTTAGGACAAATTTTATTTTTTACAGAAGTAATTTCGGTCATTTCTTTGACTCAATGTTTGAAATCGGATTTCTTAATCGCCATTTTGCACTTGTGATCACTTGTTTTTGTTTATAATCCCTTTCCTGTAATAAAACTGCCACTACAGTAGTTTGAAAATCCTGTGGGCCCTCCTAATATCGATATCAATGCCTCCGGGAAACATTGGCTAATGATCGCTAATCACTTTTTACCTGTGGTTTTAATTCACACCTGCTGACAGTGATCACAAGCTCAGAATAATATCTTTAAAACATTAAAGTTCCCTGACAAGTGTATTCATTATTTATTTACTTTTCATCAAAGACAGTCATCAATTCTGATTTAAAAATTAAATGATCTTAAATCTAAATTTACGTAGAAAAAGTATTTTTTCATGAATAACACATGTGCTTTATTTACTATGTAAGACGCATGCGTGAAATTGTCTTCAGCAAATTTAATATTTAATCGTAAAATGCAAATTGATTTCATGCTAAATTAAACGAGTGCAACTATTATCTGTTATATTCAAACACTTTTAAAGGTAATAAAATAAAAAAGCCATAAAAAGCCGGTGATTTCCTGTCAATTTGATAAACAAAACAAATCCCGGAAATGAATCCGGAATTATTCGTACTTTAAAATATCGCAAACTTCCGGTTTTAACTTTTGTCAGATCAAAAGAAACGTAAGCAATGTCTGAGAAATTAACCATTTTGAGTCATTAAAATCATTTCAATTTTAGACTGTTGCCTTCCCTAAACTGTCCTTCATGGTAATGGTAAGACATTTACTTAGTAAATGCGATAATGAAACAGCAATACAAGTTCGTCATGTTCGTTGATGCTATGAATATAGTCAAGTCGATATTGACAATTTGAAAAGGGGCACCAACTTTTTAAACATCTCAAAATGACCGAAATTGTCTGGAAAAATTTCCGGATCCTTGAGTAAATTTTTTTTTTTTTTTGTCTTTTCAAAAGCATGAAAAACTTTTTCAAAAGAACAAATATTTCAGGCTGTCAGGGCATTAAAAGATACAATGGAAGATTGCTGGGACCATGATGCTGAAGCTAGATTAACATCTATGTGTGTTGAAGAAAGAATGTTAGATATGATGACTCTTTGGATGCAAGAGTCTAAGCACAAAGGTAAAAACTAGGGTTTTGAAGGATACAATGCATGTTCAAGTGGGGAAAATAGAACAAAAGATCTTGAAAAAGAAAATTTATATTTAATTTACACACAAATATCGTAAAATAGTGTCTTTGACTAGCTAGTTCATGTCAGTGATTCTTTCAAAAATAAAAGATTAAATAAAAAAAAATAACCTAGTCCGAACCAAAGTTCTGATTTGTTTAATTTTAAAGATTTTCTCTTTTTTAAAACGGAAGTTAAATTTTTTTAATCATGAAAGGAATGGTGAATAGAGGACTTTAGCATAGACTCCCAATTGCAACCTCAATAAGAATCATGCACTGTGTTCACAATAACAAATTGAATGAAATCCTATCTGATCTTACAGGAAATCCCATTTTTGACAACTATGAATCCACAAATTTGAATCCCATGATTATGAGATATTATAAAGGATGGTTCTGAGTGAAGTAAGTAAAATGATGCAGGTCAGCCTTAATTTTCATGAGGTAAATTTCTAACATTGTTTTCTTCTGTTTTTAGCACCAACTCCACTGACAACCACCAGTAACATGTTCAGTAATTCTATAGAGGGTATACAGGAGCCATCTGTCTCAACAGAACCCTCTTCATTACGACCAGAGATCTCTGAACTAAATGACAGCAGTACAGCTCATCTTATTGTCAGTTCTCCACCAAATACTAATGTCAGTCGTGACATTGATAACTCATTTCCTCGTAGAGGGATGAGTGTATCAAATTCTACTGTTGAAACTTTTATACCTTCAACCCCTTCAGAAGGGGAAACATTCCAGAAAAATTTTAATGTAATGCTAGAGAAAAATAATCGTGTTCTTCAACCCCATCAAGGTCATAATCCAACTGTTGAAAGAAATACACACAAGCGTAGCGATGAAGAACTTGCCATCTCTGGTAATACCTTGATATATGGAAATGAACTGCATAATATAAATAATAATTTATCTCTAAATGACACTCAGTTGGATAATGTCAATGAAAATTTAGATACTTCTTTAGTTCAAAGTGATGTGTTAAATATGAATACAAGGCATGTTCATGCACCTATTCCATATCTGCAGAACCAAGTTCACAGAACAGGTATGGGAACGCGACCCAAAAATGCTAATATAATAAATGCTGGAAATAAAATGGAGACTAAAAAAACTTTTTTGGAAAAATTATTTGGACAGAGAGGATTTAATCCTTTAGGTTTTTTCCACCTGGGTTCAAAACCCTGGGGAAAATCAAACGTTAATGGGAATGTGCAATCTCTAAACACTGAAAGTGACAGTGGTGTTCAGTTAAATGAAAGGATTAGTGCTACACACCAACCCTGTATAAATCCAGGTCTTAGACCAAACCAAAATAGTGCTAACATATATAATCAAACACCATCAAACCATGATCAACAAAACAGACACAAAGAATTAGTTGTCAGTATACAGAATGGAAGGCCAGTCCATAGGCCTACAAATATTTCCAATCCAATTGGAACAGACACTTCAGAAGACTCAACAGAACCAGATGATAGAGTTTTGCCAGACCTCTCTGATGAAATTGGAATTGCTCGTATGGAGATGTTCCAGCCACAGAAGTTTAAACTTGTGATAAAAGATAAAGAAAATGATGAAAAGTACTCAAAAAGTACTTCAGATATATCTCCTTACAAAGACGAGAATGGAGTATTGAAACTTCATCGACCTGATTCACTAAAATTAAAGGGACACAACTACAAAGTCAACTCTAGTCAAACATATCCACAGAACAATATACAAGACAGAAAATATAAAATAAAGCGCCGTGTGAAAACACCTGTGAAGGTCAAACATGGACGTTTTTCATTGTATGATGATCGGTTAATGAGTCAGTATTGTAATGAAGATGAAGATGAGAATTATTGTATGAAACAGACAAGTGCTAGTTTGTATCAAATCAAAAAGTGCTGTGATGACAATTCTGTCAAAATTAGTCACTGTAATTGTTAAAGTTCCCTCTCTCTAGACTCTAGATGATAATCACAGATCTGAGCTTGTATTATGTTTAGGATTTGATTCAAGTATACATACCAAATTGCACTTTGTTTTGTGTTTATATTGTTCTGTAAATATCTCATTTTACAGGCAAGTCTTTATTCAGTTGAAATCCTGTTTCTTGTACTTTCACAAACTAAGTAGATATATTCTTCCGGAGGCATTAATGAAGTCATTTGAAATATCAGTTCAAACCGATAGGCAGTGCTTTTTTTTTTGCATGCCAAATTTTCTGAAGGAAATAATGAAGTCTTTTGAAATACTGTATCAGTTCAAACCGATAGGCAGTCCTTTTTTAATGCATGCCAAATTTTCCCTGGCTTATATCATCAATCATATGTAGTTTGAAGAATGGAGGTTTATGATGTTGTAGTTTTTTACCATACTCTTTCATAAAATGAATACACATTTGAAAAATGTTGCATATTATTTTTTTATTTAAATCAATAGGAAATCATTTGTGGACATATTAACATAAAGCATTTTTATTGATTGTTTCCTTGTTAAGCATCTAGTGGCAAGTTGTACATTGATTGATTGGTTTATGAGTGCCAAATGAACAGTAGCAGATATAGCATACATATTCGTGATGAAAACACTTCAATGGCATGTTTATAAGGGTCTCACATTTACCATCACTTTGCGTGTTTGTCAACAAATTTTGTAAACACAAAAACTTCAAAAGTATGGGTAGGACATCAATATTTTGCACATTTTTCTTACATAATATGTAATAATATTTTTTGTGAAAATTAGCAAATTGATTATGGTAGATATTTAGTTTTGTTAAAAAATCACCAACTTTGAGAAATACTTTTTGTGAACACAAAATCTCCAAAGTATGAGTAGGACTGGTACACAGTTTTTTACAGGTGGTGTTGTGCTTTGTATGTTGATGAGACTAAGCAAATCATTTATTTGTGAAAATTGAAATAGGTTCCTTGTGTCTTAAGCTATCTGTCTGTCATTAAAAGTAGATAGATATTAAGTGCTTGAATTTCAATGAAATTTGATATATATCTAAAACCAGATATCCTGAACATGCTGAATTAATTCTTGGTGTCAAAATCAATTCATTTTCCGACATTTTTAATTTTTTTCAAATGACTGCCAAAATAAGTAAACATTCAAAGTGCTAAGATTTCAATAAAATTTGATGTCTAGGTTAGAAAATGATTTGACTTGATTTCTGGTGTCAAAAATTATCTATCTATTCCAATTTTCATAATATCTGTTGGTTGCCATTTTCAAAATAGCATGGTTTTATAATTAGTACATCATGTACATTAGAACTCTTTTTCATTAACCAGTAAAATTCATGTTTCGCTTTTGATTTGAAATCCATGAAAATTATTACCCAAGTAATATGTTTTGTTTTATTTGCATCAGTATTAATTATTTGTTTCTGTGCCTCAGAAAAATGTGGAAGTGGGGCCCTTGCTGACATGTCAATTATCTGTTATATTCTGCTTTGTACTAAATCAGCCGGCTGAGTTATATTTATATCGTTTAAACACACATCAGTCTTACCAACAGGTCTTTGCTCTTAGTACTAAAAGCTGTATGCTTAGCAAAGAAACAGCAAAATACCAATTATAAAGTCTTTGATTTAATATTGCTGTGAGTTGCACTCCATGTGATCATGCTAACACTAGACTACTGAGGCAGTATATCTCTGTTTTAGATGCAGATTGCATCACACTTTTTGTATTATATAAAAAAGAGGTTTACATTTTGCTGAATTAGATATTGTGATGATTATGTAAATTTTCTATTAAAGATAGACCCATAAGTGCAAGTGTCTATGGTGCTTTAGTAGAACAAATTATCAATTTTTTTTTTAGAAATAGTTTGTATTCATCAAAATCAAGAAAATTTATATCATAAATATCTAAATTATTAGAGATTCAACAAATTTTCAGCCTTGTTTGAGGCTTTTTTTTTTATTAAAGATAAGCTTTCATTACATGTCTTATTTTAATATATGAATTTCACTGCTCTATTATATTAACTTGCCTATTCATAATCTAAAACACTCAGGATAATATTTTCAAAAAACATATGCCAAAGTGTAATGATTGGTAATCACTATCCTTAAACATTAGAATTCAACCAATTTACTATTTATTTGGTGCACAAACTGTAATATTTACCATATTTCTTTAGATTTTAGAAAAAGAAATACTAGGTAAATGAGACTGTTTACCATCACTTTTTTCTATTTCCATTAAATTATCTAGACATTGTAAGAAGGGGACTTCAGGTTGTGATAAATATTTGTGTTCTGATTATCAGTGCTAAGTGTTGCAGTGTTGCTTATGTTTTAGTGCCAAGTGGTCTTGTATGTGCAAATCATTTCCAAATTTGTAATCCTTTTCAATGCATTATTATTGGTTGAGTATCATTGTATGAAAACTCAAACAGTAAATAATTTGTAATTGAAATATACCAGAAATTGTGGAAAAATTCTTCAATACTAAGACAACAGTAATATCATTTCAATGAATATTTAATACAAGTAACTAATTTTATCATGCAATAGTTAAGTTACCTACACTTTTAAATATCTGCAATTTGTGTTTAAGTTTTTTTAAAGAAGTGGTAAGAAGTAGATATTTCCTGTTTAATTTAAAGTAATATTTTGTTTATATAAATTCTGTATTAAATTAATGTGACTTCACTTCCAATCTTTAACAACCTTAGTAAATAATGCTGAGTTTATCTTAACATTGAAGTGGTTAACAATTTTATATTTTCTTCTCAGTCTTGCTTTACATTGCAGCAGACCATTAAATAATTCTTTGTAGGAGTGGGGGAATAACTCATATTAAATTAGTCTGTCTTTTTAAACAATTTATTCATGAAAAGTCTGTGGATGAAGTCTTATGGTAGCCATTCTTATTATGATTTGATATCAACAGACAAATTTTGTAACTGCTTATTTAAATACCTGAGTCCATATCAAAACCAATCATGTTTGTCAATTTTTTTTTAAATATCTGGAACTAAAAAAGCTGTTTATAATAAATTGTGGGATAAAAATCTGCTTATTATTAAAAAAATAACATTTGACAGCGATTATATACTGTATAATTAACATTTATTCATGATCACTAATCAGTATTTGAGCTTATGTATATTTACTAACTGTAAAATAATGTCTCTACACATCTTTCTTCTTATATGAGCAGAGAACAACAGTTCAATTTCTGTATACGGTACCAGTTTTTTTATGCCTCACCTAGGGGCATTATGTTTTTCAGTCTGTGCGTCCGTTCGTCCATCTTGTCCTGCTTCAGGTTAAGGTTTTTGGTCGCTTCAGGTTAAAGTTTTTGGTCAAGGTCGTTTTTGATGAAGTTGAAGTCCAATTAAGTGTACCATGTTCCCTATGATATGATCTTTCTAATTTTAATGCCAAATTAGAGTTTTGACCCCAATTTCACGGTCCACTGAACATAGAAATTGATAGTGCGAGTGGGGCATCTGTGTACTATGGACACATTCTTGTTTTGCTGTCATTCAGTAGAATATGGGTCTTTCTTGAAGCTAAATGTTTCAATTTCTAAAATAATGCACTTTAAACAAATATGTGTGCATTGTAGAAATACGTAAAGTTTATTATGAAGATTTAAAACTGACCAAAATGCTTGTCACAGGCATTAGATTTTTTTTGTCACTAAAATTTGGTCAAATAACTTTATATTTTTGGATAATATACATATATAGTGATGAATGTGTATGTTATTTATAACAGTGCCATACAATTAGTATTGTGTTTGTTCTGTTTTTATTATGTTTAATACTGTTCATTATTTTAGAATGCAATTGTACTTTTTCAGCTCATCTGGCCCAAAGGGTCAGTGTAGGCTATTGCCATTAGTCGGTGTCCATCCTTACTCTGTTAATATAAGTGTACATGTATGATATAAAAATCTTTGATTTTAATTGGCATGATATATTTTTTTGAATAACCTTCACTATATTAGCTCTAGACCCAAATACATAACATTTGAGAGCATCAAAATCAAAAAGCAACTCCACATAATATGTCCTAAATAACCTGCCCACCTAAATTTCCTATGGAAAATAACAGAACCAGTTCAGTAAAATATCTGTATTCTGATATTTTGACCTGTTCTTTATCGAAATTATAAACATTTTGTCTTACCAGGTACATGTGATTGTTTTCTCAAACTTTGCAGACAAATTTTGTAAATAACGACCTCAAAAGCAAATTTCAGTGATAACACTTGCTTGCCTCAAGATAATTGCACTGGCACAAAGATTAAAGAGCTGAAGGATGAAAGTAGTTGGTTTGCATTGTTGAATCAACTGTTTTGAAAAATTGTCTAAGTTATCAATAAAAGTCCTTTATTGTAATGAAAATTTCAAATTTAATCCTATTTAATAGGCAACCAATCAATTACACAAAGTACAAATCTAAAAGTTCCTGAAATCTAGTCCAAAGCCAATAACATCTTATAAGTACTGTTAAATCATATTCTGAAAGGCTAAAGTATCAATCTGTATACATCGTATAGTTAATTGTTCTTCAAGCAGAAGTGCAATAAAAGTTTGTTTTGAAAAAAAAATTTTTAAGAACCTCTCATAAATTACATCTCTGGCTTCAGATGTTTACAGCAGCAATCTTCAATAATAAATAATGTATCTTATGTTTGTCAAATTAGAATGTTCTTTTGATTGTTGATTAAAGCAGCTGGTCTTAAAAAGGTCTGAAGGGAAAGTCTCTCACATTTATCCAGTAGATAAAATATTGAAGAACTGGATTTTCTGTCAGTAGCACACCATCTAGTTTTATTAACATTTACTTTATTTTGCCAAAATTACTTAATATCAACTCTGCTATCTCTCTTTACTATATTAATGTAAATATTTTTATATTAAGAGAGGGAATTGATTAGGATATTGAACAAGATTTAAATGGAGTTTTTAAAGCATTTTCAGTAATATACAATATTTGACAGGTCACAATAGATATAAAAATTGATAAGTTATTTTTATGAAATGTGAGATAATGAAACTTGTCTTGCATAATATTGCAGTACATTGTATTATTATCTCTATACATTTCCATGCTTACTATCTCCTCACATTGGAGTTTTACGATAGGTTATACTTTTTTTCATACTACAAATACTGACCACAACATTGAATGATTTTCAGTAGACAACACCTTGTAAATGTGATACAGGTTGAGTCAGTCTTCAAACTGTTTGCACATTTATAATAACCATGAGAAGAGAATTAACCTTTTGATTTTCAAGGTCAAATGTCTAGCTAAAGATGGCTTATATTGCAGATTGAATCACAGGTTGAAAGAATAATTTGCCACAATTAAAAACATTATAGTCATTCAAATTTGTGGGGCTTGATGATTCTTCATTTCACAGTGCCCTTGTTTTCTACATAACTTATAAGGTTGTAAATAATATTATATACAGGAATTTCTAACTCCTAAGTATTGTTTATTATTATCACATGTGCCATGTTGTTGTGAACAAAATGTTTGTTACTTATTAGCTATGCTGCAAGCTATTTTATGCATTAAAGTAGTTAAAACTCTGGTTTAATATATATAAGACCCATGTTCCACAACAGTCAGAAAGTTATGCTGAGATGTACTCTGTAATTTTAACCAGTTTTAGATACCAACTAGAATTGGCACAACCATACATCAATGTAGCGTTTACTTTACCGTGTGTATCTTGACATCCTCACAAAACAAAACAAAAAAGACAAACATTTACACATTCTACATTTATATAATCATATACAATGGGCAAAACACTCAAATGGCCAGATAGCAAAACTAAAACAAAAATAGTCTCCCATGAAATATTAACTTGCCCCCGTAAACAGAAATATCATCAAAAATGGATATCCACCATTGTGAATGCTGCTGAAAATTGACTTGTTTCACTATCCAGAAATTATAAAAACATTATTCAAATGTGTACACAGTGATATAACTTATGAAATCATTCTAGAAGGTTATAAGTTAATAAACTGCTTCGCTGAGCGCAGCTGGATACGCCCACAGTGGTCCAACCCTGAACAGTTGGGGCAAAAATGGACACAATATTCAAGCTTGATACAGGTCTGAATTTGGATTGTAATCAAATATTTGACATATTATAGGTTTCTGAAAGAACTTGAAATTGGTTATATGAATTGAATTTATATTCAATTAAAGATTTCTTGCTGTTGTGCAATACACTGTGCTGTTGCGCAATACTTAGTAAATCTGTTGTCGGACTATAAACAAATAAAGTTAAATTAATTCTCAATGTCATATTAGAAATTTATGAAAATGTAAAGGGAGCTTACATCAATAGATATAAACAATTCACCAAAGTTTGATGAGAATTGCTGACAGCATTTTTGAGTTATTGTCAGAAAACTGGAAAATCCCCCCTTTTTTAATGAATAAAACCCCATAACTCAGAAATGATAAATGAAAAATTTATAAAATTCTAAACAGAGCTTACATCAATAGATATAAACAATTCACCAAAGTTTAATAAGAACTGCTGAAGTTATTGTACGAAAACTGGAAAATCCCCTCTTTTTTAATGAATAAAACCCCATAACTCAGAAATGATAAATGAAAAATTTATAAAATTCTAAACAGAGCTTACATCAATAGATATAAACAATTCACCAAAGTTTCATAAGAACTGCTGAAAGCATTTTTGATATTTATGTCAGAAAACTGGAAAATCCCCCTTTTTTATGAATAAAACCCTGTAACTCGGAAACGTAAAATCTAAAATATATAAAAATCGAAAGGGAGCTCATGTCAATAGATATAAACAATTCACCACAATTTCTTGCAAGTTGGTGAAAGCATTCTTGAGTTATTGTCCGCAAACGGGAAAATCCCCTTTTTTTTTATGAATAAAACCCCACAACTCGGAAAAGTAAAATCTAAAATTTATAAAAAAATGAAAGGGAGCTCACGTCAATAGATATAAACAATTCACCAAAGTTTTATGCAAATTGGTTAAAGCGTTTTTGAGTTAATGGCCGACATGTTGACGACTGACGGACAGACGGACAACGGTATACCATATTACGTCCCTTAAATGGGCGTATAAAAACTGCAGAAAGAGCTGATGACACAAAATTAATACTAACAATCAAGAATGCTGCTAAAATTGACCACCATTCAAAACATAACCGCTCGACTCAGTCACTCCATCTGCAAGGTGAAATGTCTACTTCTGTCCAACATGTAAAATTTCCAGTGCCAGTCCAAATTTCCTGCCCTTCATTCTTGTCAAACCACTGACTTTCCATGTCTATCTAATAGATTTATTTGTTATTTGTTAACTAAATATTTATGAAATATTTGCCACTGGACATGAAGCAAACAACAATAAATCAGGACATCTTCACAGTATGTATGCACATGTCTTAGAAACATATAGAAATGAGGCAGAAGATATTAAAAGGATAAAAAAATCATAAAGTCATAAAGTCATAGAAAAACTGACAAAACTATGGCAAAAAAAATAATAAACTGTTGACACAGAGAGTTCTCGCCTTTCGGTTTAAATTCAGAAAAAGACAATTTGATGGACCGCAACATTGCTTATTAATCAAAGTTGCTGGACCATGAACTACTAGTGGACAGGGCCTCGAAATAAGTCAACAAACTGAGATATACAGACAGTCATGTAATTTTATAGAAAATATCTTTGTCTATTTAAGTAGTTTCTATCAAACTAACTTAAGCAGAAAACTTAACATTGAAAATTGGTAATTAATTAAAAGTCACTGGACCATGACCTATGGGGACAGGGCCTCGAAATAGTTATCAAACTGATAATAAGTGATATGAACTGATAGTAATGCAACTTAATACAAAATATTATTGATCTATCACAAGTAGTTCTTATCAAACTAACTTAAGCAGAACACTAAACAATTGTTGACGCCATCGATGATGATAATGTCATAGTCGCCAGAAAAGCAATACCTATGTCTCACCTTCCGCAGCTTTCTTCGCAGGGGAGACAAAAAACAATGAAAAGACAAACACTACACAGAAAACTAAAGGCAGAGCAGTACAAACCCCATCACATACAAGGGTAATATCAGCTGCTCCACTTGGCCAGGAAGGGTATGCATACTCTGCTCCACTAAGCCAGGAAGGTTATGCATACTCTGCTCCACTTAGCTAGGAAGGGTATGCATACTCTGCTCCACTTAGCTAGGAAGGGTATGCATACTCTGCTCCACTTAGCCAATAAGGTTATGCATACTCTGCTCCACTTAGCCAGGAAGGGTATGCATGCTCTGCTCCACTTAGCCAGGAAGGTTATGCATACTCTGCTCCACTTAGCTAGGAAGGGTATGCATACTCTGCTCCACTTAGCCAATAAGGTTATGCATACTCTGCTCCACTTAGCCAGGAAGGGTATGCATACTCTGCTCCACTTAGCCAGGAAGGGTATGCATACTCTGCTCCACTAAGCCAGGAAGGTTATGCATACTCTGCTCCATTTAGCTAGGAAGGGTATGCATACTCTGCTTCACTTAGCCAATAAGGTTATGCATACTCTGCTCCACTTACCCAGGAAGGGTATGCATACTCTGCTCCACTTAGCCAGGAAGGGTATGCATACTCTGCTCCACTTAGCCAGGAAGGTTATGCATACTTTGCTCCACTTAGCCAGGAAGGGTATGCATGCTCTGCTCCACTTAGCCAGGAAGGTTATGCAATCTGCTCCACTTAGCCAGGAAGGGTAGGCATACTCTGCTCCACTTAGCCAGGAAGGGTATGCATACTCTGCTCCACTAAGCCAGGAAGGTTATGCATACTCTGCTCCATTTAGCTAGGAAGGGTATGCATACTCTGCTCCACTTAGCCAATAAGGTTATGCATACTCTGCTCCACTTACCCAGGAAGGGTATGCATACTCTGCTCCACTTAGCCAGGAAGGGTATGCATACTCTGCTCCACTTAGCCAGGAAGGTTATGCATACTTTGCTCCACTTAGCCAGGAAGGGTATGCATGCTCTGCTCCACTTAGCCAGGAAGGTTATGCAATCTGCTCCACTTAGCCAGGAAGGGTATGCAAACTCTGCTCCACTTAGCCAGGAAGGGTATTCATACTCTGCTCCACTTAGCCAGGAAGGGTATGTATACTCTGCTCCACATGTGTCACTAGTCATGCTGCTCATGGCAAGTACAAATTTGGTGATGTAAAAAATTATCAAATGAATGCATATATATGATATTGTACCAAAGATTGCTCCAAGTTACTGAAATCAAGCATAAATGTTCATCATATTTTTCTAAAGTATTATGAACAAGTAAACCTGACCTGTGAACCAACTGGGATATATTTTTTAATTCACAATGTACTGTAAATTCAGAAATTATTGTGAGGTTTTTATTAATGCGAATAATGCGACTGTAACAGTGGTTTGATTCCGCCTGTGTACTTTATCCGGAGGAAGAAAATCCCCGGGAGTGATTTTTATCCACCAACAAAAAATCACTAGGGTTTTCTATCCGGTCCAGTCTAAAACATCCACCAGTCATTATAAGGTTCTAATAAGGTTTTTTTGAAGGGGAAATATATTTAAAATGTGGCTTAATAGTTTTTAGTGTATATGAAAATTGCATAGTTGATTCGTGTAAAAAGTGGAGAGTGTTCATCCAAGGAATATTCACACTAATGTTTTTGAACCCGGAATGATTGCACTAGTTATTTTATAACCGGCGGGATTAATTACAGATTCAGATTCAAGATTCAATAGTTTATTAAAGTCTCACCACATACATACAAGTATAAACACATTATAATATCAAGTACACAATATAAAAATTTAGAATGCATGTGCCATTCTTAAAAGAACTATGAGAGACTGTTATATACAATTATAAAACAACAGAATTAAAACATAATTTTGTTATTTACACAAAACATAAAAGTGCAATATCACCATGCACATTCAAGGATAAAACCTGTTACATGTACATAAAAAAAAAAAAAATAACAATGATTTTTTAACAGTATAAGATACTATTTCGTCGTAATAAAATATTATGGCAGGTTTTGGCAACAGAACTACAAACATTTTCATTTTTGAACAAAAATATAAATTTTTCATCATCTGACAAAGTTAAAAACATATTATTATGTTGAATTATATCAATAAATAAAGACTGCCTTAAATCTTCATATAATGGACATGTTAACAGTACATGTTTTTCATCTTCTATATCATCACAATTGAAACATAATCTTTTATCTAAATCTAATCTTTCGTAACGACCAGTTTCAATTTTTAAAGGTGCTACTCCACATCTAAATTTCGCATATGCACTGTGATATCGAATAGGTATATTTTGCAACAAATATTGTTCAGTAGAGTATGAAAATTTAAACAATTTATAAGTTCTCAACTTATTTCCTTGACCATAAGAATCAAGCCTTGTACTCCATTCAGTTTTATAATTATCAAAAATATTAACTTCTAACTGATAAATTATATTTTTATCCAGTATATAATCATCTACATTACAAAATCTGTCCATATTGTAAAGT